GAGAGAGAGAGAGAGAGAGAGAGAGAGAGAGAGAGAGAGAGAGAGAGAGAGAGAGAGAGAGATGGCCATTGAAGGTGAGTTCAAGGAGACAGAAAGTGTGAAAGAAAAGAGGAGAAGAAGGGAGGGAAAGAGATGACACAGAGTGTTTTAGGCAGCTCAGGCTTTCTTGAGATCTGTTCAGTGAGAAAATTCGGACACAGACCTGATTTGGGTTAATGTTGGCATTAGTCGGATTTCTGTTGGTTGGGATTCTAGACCCAGTTTCCAGCAAAAGCCGAAGCTGGGTACTGGCCCCAGTACAAACTGTGGGGTGGTAGAGTTGTGAGGACCCCGGCCTGTTGTGGAATTTCATTCCATAATGAGCTGTGCTTTCAAAAAAAAAAAAGGGTTACTACCTCTAGAAAACAATTCAGTGAAAGTGGGGAAGCTCCAACTTCACCTCAAAAAAAAAAAAAAAAAAAAAAAAAAAAAAAAAACAGTCGGGATATCTGGGACGATGTCGCAATTTTAACGAGCCCGTGGTTCGATCAGGTAGACTAGTCGCCAAAGGACTCTTTTTTTTTTTTTTTTTTTTTTTTTTCAATTACCTGTTATCCTTGATTCCGAACAGAGTATCACGAACACTTTAACCTGCAAGCATTCTCCCACCTGTCAGCACGCCTGCGCCTTGTGAACAACAAGATCAGGAGGTTTGAATCTACACCGGTCATCGCTATTACGTCATTTTTTGACATAAACGACAGGTTTGCTCGTGTCGACCATGGGGACATTCTTCAACCACTCGAATGGATTGTTTTCATACCAGCAACTCGAGAAGGGCAGGGATTTTATGCTCTCACCAACACAGACACAAAGGGGTCCTCGTTCGGACGAAGGACAGGTGGAGACCACTGGAGGTTGTTGAAGCGCAGAGGTATCGCGGACTTCATCCGGATGAGATTCAGACACACCTACACCGACGCCGCTGGCGCACTTCTCAAGCAGGAGGTTGGTATCCCGATGGGAGCCACTTCCAAAGAAGTACAATGCGTATGCGCATCGCGTACGATGCGTAGTACAGGTTCAATTGCAGCAGCTTAGGGAAGGTAAGCGGTTAAGCGGACACGTGTACGGCATCCGACTCATCGATGATGACGCGCCTCTGATTTTGGCAGCCCTCACTGACGATTCCGCAGGTGACGCGATCAAGGCCTTTGAACAGCGTTGCATGGAGAATCTCTGTCTGAAGCGCACTGATGATGGCCGATCAGGTACATTTGATCTCCTAGGATGTGAGATATATGTTGTTGTGCGCCTGTTTTCCTTTCATTGATTGTGTGCAGCTATCAAAGAACGAGAAACGTATCTGGAACAAGGAGCACCTTGCGATACAGACTGACTGGACGATCTTTTCAGTCATGGGGATGTAAGAGACAGAAGAGTGCCGTCGTAGTCGGAAGCTAGCTGCACAAGATCGACCGAACGTTCAAATCGCTACGATCCCGTCGATCCGTTCTAACTTCCAAGTTCTAAGATCGTAAAGCCGTAAAGCGCGTACTGACCTTGAAGTTGGAACTCAGGTTGAAGCGGTTTAGGGTTTAGGGTTTAGGGTTTAGGGTTCTTTGTGCTTGTGCTCTGAAGCGGTTTAGGGTTTAGGGTTCTTTGTGCTTGTGCTCTGAAGCGGTTTAGGGTTTAGGGTTCTTTGTGCTTGTGCTCTGAAGCGGTTTGCGATGAGACGTGCTGAGATCTGCTGGGGATGTAACTTTGGGTTTCATCACGTTCGTGAGTTTGAAAATTGTACAGTTAGATGTGTTTTTCTTTTGTTTTTTCGCACACTTTTGTACTACCACAGAAGCACATCTTACCTTGTGGTACTATCGGAATTCGTTCTCATGAATCTCATCTTAGCTTGTGGTTTTTCGGACATAAAGCGGTTTGATGTTCGGACCCGTTGAGGAATTTGATGTTTTTGTTAGGTTTGTCCTCAGACTCAGTTAGTGTTAATTTTTACGCAGTTACAACCGTCTGCAGACGTAAACCAGCAGCACATGGCCACCTGGCCACGGGTCTGATGCCTCAAATTCTCTAGGCGCGAAACGAAAACGGGGCTGCTGATCGAATTTATCAACGGCGGGTGCCGGCCTCGTTTTCTTGTGGCGACAAGTTTCCGACTGCAAGGCTGGGGCTGTGTACTTGTGGTTTAACACAGGTCAGCTACACCGGCGGAGGCTCGGTCAAGGCATGCATTTGCTGTACCCGATGAGTCGGTTTTTCGATGTGCTGTGATATTCGGACAGGGCAGTTATTTTGGACCTTGAGCTGATGGATCTGTGGGATGTTTTTTTCTGAGTACTCTGCTTTTGGGTGCCCATGTTGCACACTCTCGTATCGACTTAACCCAGTTAAGTCGACTTAACTGTGTACTTTCGGTTTGAGTGCCGAGTATGTAGAGTGCACTTTGCTGGTGCGACAGGACAGAATGGACGGGAGGATCGAGCTTAGCATGTATCGGTCCTATCGGTTTCCTTTTTCCTTTCTCTTTTCTGTGTTGACGTTTCGTCTGATTTTGGTGTGGCTTCGATACATGGACCTAAAGCGACGTGATACCGTAGCACTGGATGGGTACTGCAAGGGTACGTTCGGGCGGGACTGGATAAAGGAAAGCGTCGTACTAAGTTGGAACCGCGGAATATATACGGGGTGTGTACGATGTTTTCGTTCCTTCACAGGTCGGACAGTTGTATTGACGCCGAGCAGTCTGGAATGCTAGTGGGAGGTAGGAGCAGAATTGGGTATGGTATGTTGGAGATAGTGCAAGGTAGAATTTCATTTCGGCGGAGTCCCGCGAGGAAAATGGGTTGGCAGCAGTGAAAACGTGGCGTCGGGGACATCACGCCTGTGCTTTTATGAGCTTTGCTGTGTTATCTTTTGGTCCTTGGAAATTTGTACGCCATCACGGTGCTTTTTTGCGACTTCCCTGAGTAATCGATGATGTCTTCTACCACTAATGTTGCAGGGGTTGTTGTCTGTTGGTAATGAAAATTGACAGCCATAAATCATTTCAACAAAAGATTGCCAAGCATTGGGTACTAAATGACCTCCATTCATGGTGACAAAATGAAATAAAAGCAAAACTAAACTAATAGTGAGTAGCATAAACAAAGATGAATATCGATCTCAAACCGCCAGTTGTTGTTGGCCCAGCCTTACAAAAAATGCACGGATCGGGCTGCGGAAAGGGTCGGAGGATTGCCCAGCGAGAAGGCTGTGGTGCCAGGCAAATAGCACGCAAAGAGTCCTTCAGGATGTCCGTTAAAATTGGAACAACGCGGAGAAGAGTAGCATGGCCCCTGCATGAAGATGACACACATGAACAGAGAAATGGGAAAAAAGGTGCCCTGCAGTGATTTTTTTTTTTTTCTTTTTTTTTTTTCGCTTTTCCTTTTCTTTAATTTCCTAGGTCTGGGACGAAAATCAGCTTTCAGAATCAGAGGCTGGGAACAACTGGGGCCTGGACCCACTACCATCTTCACCCGAATAGAACGCCTGGTCATTATCACTGTATCTAGACTGAAAGTTGCACCAAATACAGCTATAATGACCGGGCGTTCTATTCGGGTGAAGACAGTAGCAAGCGGATTAGCTAAAGAAGTTGTGTGTGATGCACAGTGACTGTTGATATTGGGAGATCCGACGGATGGACTTGAAACAAACATCAAAGGCAAAAAAACTTTAAAAAAGAGAAAAGAAAAAAAAACCTTCGTACCCGCCCGCTAATCCTTAACACTGGTGACATTGGTGCAAATCAGTTTCCCTTCACCGGAGACTGGATGGAAATAAAACCTAAGTGCCGAAAAGGTTAGTGTCTGACACTGTCTGTGCATCTCCTTTCTTTTTTTCTTTTTTCTTTTTGAGATTTCCTTCCGTTCAGATCGTGTTGACTTTAGTTTTGAGGGTTGTTTGTGAGGAATTCCCGGCCTCATGTTTCATGATAATGGATTCCTTACTTCTTCCCAAAAAAAAAAAAAAAAAAAAAAAAAAAACCTTCAGTTTGAATGTCGGACATGAGTGAGGAATACACCTGTTGGTTTAGGGCGTGCGGGAGGCCTGCGACAAGGGCGGAGAGTGGGCCGGACGTCATCATCACTGTTATATATTTATTTATTTTTGAACACTGTTAAAAAAAAAAAAACACAGCCCCTACCCAAGAGCCCAGCGCAGTGGGTACACCCATGAACTGTTGAAATACAGACCAGAGTTCAAATCCAGATGATGGAACTGGATGAGTAAAATCAAATCCCTACACTTGTAGAAATCGCTAACGTGAGAATTGGCCACACCGGGCTGCCTGCGGTGCTACCGGCCCGAAGGTCTGGATTTTTGTGCGATCTTAAGACTTCAAGATTTTAAGATCGCGCGACGATGCAGGCTGTCCGGCGAGGCGGACGGCCTGGAATCGCCGCGGAATCTTAAAGTCTTAAGATCGCCGGACGATCCAAGTCACCTCCGAGCACAGCCTTGCATGTCACGGGTCGAGGGCACGAAGTCACGGGCCGTTCGACGCAAGCAGGGCCATAGCACCGCCCGCCCTGTAACGGGTCAATGGCCCGCAGGTGCCGTGGCGGTTCTTTTACGACGGGCCCTCTTTTCAACGGCCACTACGATCCAGGGCGTCCGCGGTCTTACCGGGCTGAGGAGGACGAGGAGGAGGAGGAGAAGTAACAGCAGGAAGATACAGGGAGGTGAAAGCCGAAAAGGAGGGAGGGTAGGAAGGGAGAAAGAGATGGAGGTGGAGGAGGAGAGGGAGGAGGGGGAGAGAGGGGAAGGACGACCAGAGGAGGGAAAATCATAGAGGAGGGAAAGGAGGGAGAAGAGGAAAAGTTAGGGGGAAGGCTGGGGGGACGGGGGGGGTTGCTAAAGGTGCGAAATGGCACCACATGGCTTTGCCACGTGCCACAAATGTTTTCGGTTTCTCTCTTTGTGTGTGTGTGTGTGTGTGTGTGTGTGTGTGTGAGAGAGAGAGAGAGAGAGAGTTCCATCGGTCGGTTGCCTCCCCCCTTCGGGGATCACCTGATGCATTTGCTTTTGGGAGCGAAGCTGCAACAGGTCATCTAGTATTTCTGAAATGCCTGGGGCTGGTCAGCTCAATGATGATATCCCAAGGCCGCCCCCCTTTTAAAAAACAAAACACAGCCCCTTCTATTCTGGGGGGCATCAATCCGGTTGCTTATCACCGGCAAGCATGTTTCCATATCGTTGCCATTCTGTACCCTCCAATTCCTCTTTTCAGACTGTCGTCATCGTCATCGTCATCTTTCTTGTCCAAATTTCGCAAAGCACACGGGGACAGTGGGACACGCATGCCAGGAAGTTCATCCTTAAACCACCAGTACCTTTCCCAGCCAACTTGCCGAAAGGCGCCAGTTACCACGGAGGCCGCACTCGGCCTCCGACGGGGGCCAGATGCATCGCCAAAACTCGGTGCGGCGTGCGGGGCCCGAAACCCATAGCTGGGAAAGGTACTGGCGGTTTAAACCACCGGTACAGGGCCGCAGCCTTGCAGAAAGAAACTCGTTGCCGTAACTGAAAAAGCCGGGGCGGTGTGGAGCAGGGCCGCCGGGGATAAATTCCATCGGCGGCCTCCGAAGCGTCACGAGGCTCCGAAAGGGGCCTGCGGCGGATGTATGGGTGTACTGGTGGTTTAAAGCAGCCTGCCGTTGGATCAAGGCTTATCCAGTGGCGGGAATAGCATCATCTCCCATTTGCCTACAGCTTTGATTTCGGAAACAGTATCCCACGGCCTCAACTGTTACACGGCCGGCTGCACCACTGCTGTCGCACAGCCCTCCATTCGCTAATATGCCCCCAATAGTGGGTCGGGAGCTGTGGGGTGTGGTCCCACAGCAGGTGGAGTAGCTAACGCATGGCCCCCTTGGATTCCGACGTCCGACATCAAAATTGGAGTTAAAAGGGAGGGCATGCTATGCCTCCCATCTTCAAGCATGAATTTTGGATGCCCTTTTTTTTTTTTTTTTTTTTTTTTTTTKKGGGGGGGGGGGGGGAAGCATGAAACCATGAATTTCCTGCTCTGCACGTCACTGTGTGTAAATATACATTCGGAAAGAAATGATAATGATGGTGGTAAAAATAAAAAAAAAATAAAAGAAAATGATGGTGGTCCACAGCGAAAAATAGAGGGTGAAGAATGGTAGTGATCAGGATGTCTGACCCAGTGTCCACCAGGGACCACCGACTTTGTTGGAGGGCTCTGACATTGCTGACGCCAGTGAGAGCGTATTCCTCACTCTCGTCTGGTATTCGGCAAAATTCAATGCAGGGAAGTCCGAAAAAAATTAAGAGAGAAGAAGAGAAGCAGACCACACAAATCCTTTTTCACAGGTTTTTTTAAACTTTTTTTTTTTTCTTCCCACATGTAGTTTTATTTTGGTGGGGCAATCAACAGGATCAGGCAGCACAAAGTTAATCCATGAGAGAGGAAAATTATATAGGAGTCGCATGGAAATAATTGGACGAAAATGACACGAGCCTCATGATCATAAATAATTGGAAGGAAATGACACGAGCTTCACGATCACGGTGTTATCATTCATATCTTCCTCCCGACAGCTTCTCGGCGCGAACACCAGTCCAGAATCTCAATTCTTCTACTCATCACGCCACTCAGATTGACATGCATTATGTAGCTGATTTTTTTACTTAGCTTATATATAACTTATTATTTGTGGATCTCAAAAAAATTATTCTACTCATCATGCCACTCAGATTGACATGCATTATGTAGCTGATTTTTTCACTTAGCTTATATAAAACTTATTATTTGTGGAAAGTGGACAGAGAACTTTCTCCAGTTTGCAAATTTCTTTTTGTTCTTTTGTTTTTGCCAACTTTTTGAACCATTTGGTCTTTTTTTTTTTTTTTTTTTTTTTTTTTTTTTTTTTTTTTTTTTTTTTTTTTTTTTTTTTTTTTTTTTTTTTTTTTTTTTTTTTGTCTATTTTAGTATTTTTGGATTTATGCGTGTCATCTTTTTGGAAGACTGTTTTTAACTTTTTAGTGATAACCAAGATCTCCTCAAGGAGCTGGCATAATAAATGGGGATGCATGATTCTCGCAGTTGGTTTTCGAAGGTGGTCCTGGTAATGTCAGAGGTGCGAATACAATTCGCCATCTGAGAGACGGGCATTACGGGACACCCTCAATGAACATGGACAGAGACTTCGTCTCTGTTCACTGGTGGGGTATGACACCAGGTGCTCCCTGTCCTGCCTACCACACTCCTGGGGTGAGGCCCCACCGACAAAGAGGATTGGATTTAATGAATGCTACCTACCACACTCCTGGGGTGAGGTCGCACTACCTTCTTCCCCCGAATACAACGTACGGTCATTATAGCTGTATCTAGACTGAAAGATGCCTCAAATACAGCTATAATGACCGTACGTTTTATTCGGGGGAAGAAGGTAGCANCTCTCACACACACACACACACACACACACACACACACACACACACAGAACTGACGTTTTGTTGAAAAAACTGCTTTTTAGTTAAAATTGAAATATTTTGCTGGCATGACGAAATTGAGCTTGGAAGGGTGTTGCGATTTTATCATCCTCCGATGAGTGAACTGACCACAGCATATGACAATGGAAGGGTGTTGTGGTGTAATCATCCTCCAATGAGCATATGCTAATCTGGTCGTATAAACGACCAGATACATCCAAAAGAGCATGTAAGATGAAGGTAGAGCATGTAAGATGAAGGTAGGACGCCGTACCTCGTACGGCGTCCATGTACATACATACCATCGTTTGCGGAAACTTCAAAATCTGGCCCAAATCGCTGAAAAACAAAAAACTCAATTTGGTCACACCAGCAAAATATTTCAATTTTAACTAAAAGGCAGTTAAAATGGCTCTTCTTTTTTAGTTGCACGAAATTAAATGTCCCAATTTCCCCCGTTTTCTGTGTATTTTTTGAACCCATATTAGTATATGATACTACTATGCACCCAGGGGCATGGTCCCACTAGCAAAGAGGATCGGATCAAATGCCTGGATCTGGACGTGTTTGTGGAGAGGTGCAGGACATCGAGATTGAACTGCTTTTCTGCTTTTCTGCATAAAACACATCCAGATTCAGGACCCTGATCCTATCCTCTTTACTAGTGGGACCTCGACCCAGAAGGAATGCCGAACAGCATTCCATTGTCATCAGTTCATACAATCTGCAGAAACTAGTACGTACTACGTAACCTTTTTTTTTTTTTTTTGGTTGAAAAAATATGCCCCTGCCTACTAGTGGGAGGTGGTATTAGCACCCTAATCATGCTTTAGACTCTTTAGAGTGATTATTATATTTACCCTACTGCAACCATGGATAGCACCCTATTTGGGCCTATTATACTATTTACTATTTAGCATTATTTTCTGTATATTTTATGACCTAATAAGACATAAAGTAATGTGACTGTTGTTTGTTTAATGACATTCCTTCTGGGCACGTAGTAGTATGGGTTCAAAAAGTACACAAAAACTAGGAAGATTGGGACATTTAATTTCGTGCAAAAAGAAAAAAGAAGTCATTTTTGAACGAAATGGCAGTTCTTTCTCTCCATGCTGGTCAGTCTCTAGTAGATGCTTGTCTGAAATTCCTCGGATTTTCAGATGCGGGTGTGTACTTGGCATAGCCCTTGCCGTTTTCGAAGTAGGTGGAGCCATCCTTGTTCTGGCAGTAGAAGCTCCGATCTTGGTTCCTGTACTCAAACTCCCCACCATTGTCCAAGTCCGACGGTCCCCAATGGGTATATTCGTTTCCCCTGGAATTGATTCCAGAGTACGGCCGGCTACCTCGTCGTGAGTCACTCTGTGAACAAAGATCGGACAATGAACGAGTAAATACAATGAGAAAAGTAAAAAAAAGACAGGAGAAACGAAAACTTTAAGGAGGAAACTTGGGAGAAGGAGGAGGATAAAGCAAATTCAATGTCCTATTGATTAATAGTGTGGTAGGAAACGAGGAGGAAGGGAGAGAGGCCCTATATACCCTTCTCCCCATTTCCACACCTCAGGCTGAAGCTCTGTCTACCTTAGGCTATCTTCTTTTTTTTAATATTATTATTATTATTTAAATTTTTAAACTATGCTCCGATCTATTCGCTGGGAGCTGCACATGCTGGGTATCGGGCCCAGTGTCCCTTATAAAATGTACAGATTATTGAAAGGTCCCGGGACCATTACCTGGATTTCAGCTAAGAACAATCTCTCAATCTAGCCCAAGATAAACACATTTAGACCTATTTAGCCCCCATTGCAACAGCAGCCTCTTCACCCCCCCCCCCCCCATTGGGCCGCCAACTTCGAAGAAGTACCTCTGGCCTGGCCGCGCCTGCTGCTCGTCCTATCATCTAACTCAGAATAGCAGCCATTTCGTCAAAACAGACATTTCAACATTTGACATTTCTTGAACGAAATTGAAAACCGGCTTTTTTGGCCCAAAACAAAGTCAAAAAAAAAAAAAAAAAAAAAAAAAGTCAAATTTTTAGCTTGTGGCGGACCAGCGGTTTGACTTTGTTTTGGGCCAAAAAAGCCGGTTGACCCCCTGGATCCTGGATGTCCGGCGTTTTCAAAACGCTGGTCCCTCAGGAGCTGAAAAAATGACAAATTTTAGGGGCCAAAAAAGCGGGTTCCAATTTCGTTCAACTCCAGATACCTGATCCAGGGGGTCCGGCATTGGAGCACTCTCTCTCTCCTCCCGTTTTCTCTCTCTCTGCCTCTCTCCCTCTCTCCCTCTCTCCCTCTCTTTCTGTCGCTATGGAGGTGATTGGAGGAGATCACTGAGCGCCGACTGGGTCATACTACTATGGCAGTCAGCAACGAGGCACGGGCGAAGAACAGAGTACAGGACTCAAGGACAAAGAACTTCAAGCCTCTGCCTCTCTTATGTCAGCCTTGTGAAGCGGTTATACACGAAGGGTACAAGTGTCAAGCACGAAGAGTACATGGTCAAGTGTCAAGCACGAAGAGTACAAGTGTCAAGCTCTCCGCATTGGGCATGACGATTGCCACAGTTGTCACAATGCAGAGATCATCTTGAAGAATAACAACTTGTGGACCAGATACATCCAATAAGAAGATAAGCTAGTGGAAGAGTGCACGTGTCAAGCACAAAGAGTACACGCGTCAAGCACGAAGAGTACAAGTGTCAAGCTCTCCGCATTGGACACGACGACTGCCACAGTCGTCACAATGCAGAGATCATCTTGAAGAATAACAAGCTTGCGGACCAGATACATCCAATAAGAAGATAAGCTAGTGGAAGAGTGCACGTGTCAAGCACAAAGAGTACACGTGTCAAGCACGGAGAGTACAAGTGTCAAGCACGGAGATTACAAGTGTCAAGCTCTCCGCATTGGGCATGCCGATTGCCACAGTTGTCACAATGCAGAGATCATCTTGAACAATAACAACCTTGCGGACCAGATACATCCAATAAGAAGATATTAACCACTGCAGCAGTGACTGCACCCCGCGGTGGACATGAGCGATGAGAGGAGAGCTCAGGGCGTCTCATCCGGAAATTCAGTGTCGAGATCATGTTGACCAAGTCCCGAAAGTTTCATGAGCTCGTGGCCAGCGCCGTCAACTTCAATGAAAACGAGGCCGGGGCACAGGAGAACTGACCACAGCTGTGACTGAAAAAGAGCCAGGGGGGGCAAGGGGGCAGAACGCAACCCTAAGTTGAAGCAGCAGCAAGGAGGACTCAGAGAGAATGAATGCATGTGTGAGTGATTCTCATTATCAATTTACCAACATCATGATCAGTGGTGAAGTGATGGAGGTAGTGTGTTGTGAGGTTACGTATTCCTTTTCGTTGGTCTCTGCAGTCTTTGATTTCCGACGCACGTCGAAGTCTTCTGAACGCTGTTTCTGACTGTACACCGACTAGTATGACTTTTTCAACGACGTCAGAGTTTCAATTTGGATTCAAAAGAGAACTTGAAGGAAAAAAAAAAAAAAAGAGTTTTAAACTAAGAATAGTAATCAGAAAAGAGCATCATACTCTTGCTGTCTTTTGCAATCGCTGCAGCACTCGCACAGGCGAACACGCCCACACCCACACACACACACACACGAACACATGAACACGCAACCACGCGAACACGTGAACACGTGGACACAAGAAACAACTTCAAGTTGACAATGTGTTTGATTAAAACAGCTCTATCGTTGCGATTTCCGACCGGTGAACTCGCTCAAGGAACAAATTAATTTTGCCGGTGTGCACCATGAGATGATTTATACCGACAGGTCATCCAAGTTCATCAATGGACGAATGACGATTATGATGATGATGATGATGATGATGATGATGATGATGCCATGATGATGCCATGATGGTGTTGATTATCATAATGGAACTGATACTGCAGTCAGTCAATATGACTCCCAAGTCTCCAACCACAAAAGAACAGTTGGCAATCATGATGTTTGGATGATTGCTTCTGGAGATGTGTGGCCTAGAGATGAGACTCGAACTCAACAATGTGTGGCCTCATTGAAGATGCAAAGTGAATTTCTAACATGGATAGACCTAAGTTTGAAATCTGGGAAGAACTTGAGTGTAGTAAGCCTGTCTCTTATACACATCTAGATGTGTATAAGAGACAGACAGTATCCACCTGCAAAAAAAAAAAAAAAAAAAAAAAAAGTATGTCGAGCCCTCTGCTCTTCAGCAGTAACCCTCCATGCTTTTTTTTTTTTTTTTTTTCCCTCCATGCTAACACGACTTGAACCAGGTCTTAGTCGACCCCATTGGAGCAGAGCAGAGCCTCCTTCCACTACTTACCACTCCTCTTCCATGCACCCATAACCTCAAAACCCTGCCAGCCCATCCGCCAGCAGAGGGCAGGTCGACAAAGTACAGTTCACTGTTTTTTGATACTTTTGTCAAAAAAAAAAAAAAAAAAAAGGTACTTATGTCAGCTGCAGTTTACTGTTTTTGTTTGGTACTTATGTCCGATTCAGTTCACTGTTTGGGGAGGGAGAAACTAGTTTCACTGTTTGGGGAGGGAGAAACTAGTTTGCAGCGGACGGTGTCTGGCGCCTGGTTCAGGGCGAAGAGGTTCTCTCCCCTATCCCCAGATCCTGCTCAGTCAATCCTCTGGATGTCCAGGGTAATCAATATCCTGGCAGGGATCTCTTACTGGGTGCCCGTTTTCCAGCAGGTGATGCTCCCGGGCCCCACTAATAGATGAAGCCTCTCCCCCGGTGCTAGTGGTGTCTGCTCGTACCCGCATCACTAACACCGGAGGGGATGTTTAAAAAAAAAAAAAGAAAAAAAAAAAGCCTACACGCGGCTAGAGTACTGGGTGCCCTGGTGCCTACACCTGTGATTCTCAACCAAGTGCAAAACTCTTTTTTTAAGTTTCTTTATTATTATTATTATTATTATTATTATTATTATTATTAACAAAGGCCTGTGCAGATCTGGTAGGGAAGGTGATAAGAGCAGCCTTCCCTAGCAGCCAAGCAAGTGAAAAACTCCAATGTACGCTTCGTGTCGATTGTCGCCAACCGAGTTGTCCCCGACACACCGTGACGTTCCGAGGAACCACCTGATCCCCCTCATGTTGCTTTGGGGCCTTTCGCAATTCCTATTCCACTGGGCCTTGATGTGCTGTCTGATCCTGTTCAGTATCATTGACTTGGTCTCAACGTCTGAGGAGCCCTTTCCTTTAAAGCGGAGGGCCCTATTCCTGATATCCCAAATAACCGAGCAGACTACAGCTCTGCAGGCCTGAGTTATGTGTCCGCATCCTTCCGTGATCGATAATCTCGCTGGGATGGTCCCCAACAAGGCGCACTCCTTGTCCCATTGGCAAGTCCATTCTGCAAAGTCTTGCAATGGCCGGCCCACCGTTCCCAGATTCTGCGAGATGCAGGACAGTCCCACAGTCCCACCACAGATATACTGTGGATTCAAAAGGGCAGACGCACCTGCTGCATGACAGACGAATTTGCATTCCCTTTCCGGCCAGTCATACTGCAGACGCCATTGGCCCATTGGGACTCTTAGCAATAGGTGCTGGAATTTGTTTTCTGCTCTTTTTTTTTTTTTTTGGTTACACAAGGAAGAAGGTAGTTGCCAGATACTACGGCGGATGGTACATCAAGAAACTGTTGATCGACAGAAAAAAAAAAAGGAAAAAAAAAAGAAAAAAGTGTGTAAATTCTGTCGGATACAAAACTAGTGCTCGCCTGCTAGGGGTGAACCTCCTCCTTTCTCACCACAGAAAAGGATAAGAAAAAGAAGAAAGGATTCTTTTTTGAAGTTTTTTTTTTTTTGAATTGACTATGGCCATGTCATACTTTTCAGTTTCCATGTGCAGCTGAAATAGGTAGAGTGAGCACACACTCAGTTGAAGTAGGTAGGGTGCAGTGAGCACACACTCATCCCATAGACACAACGAAGAGAGATGGGTACGATGAGAAAAAAATACGTCGCAAAAGAAGGATCCCTCTTATTGACCCAATGCAGACCCAAGCTATGAGTCACTTTGTACCCACTGTACGTGCACAGTCCCATACTACAACCCTCAAGTGCGTACCACATGTGTACAATGTCCTTTATTTTTTCATTTTGATGCGGGTTTTGGGGGGGGGTACGCTAGTACGCACACAGCAAGTGCCATCTCCCGAATTGAACATTGATGCGGGTTTTGGGGGTGGGGGGGTGGGGGTATGCTAGTACGCTCATCAGCCGTCTCAACTCCTCTGCAGCATCCCCCAGCACCATCCAGCATGGGTGTAGCGCTTAGAAAACTCAGATCTCTCTCTCTCTCCCTCTCTCCCTCTCTCCCTCTCTCCCCGCACTTCCATCGTCCCCCGAACACAATGCACCCTAATTTTGGCTGCACCACACTGGAAAGATGGCTCATACATATATTTGTTGCCAGGGTGCTGAGCCATTTTGCCTGCATGGGACCTCAAAGATAGCTTGTATACATTCGTTATCAGGGTGCTTAGTGTTAGAGGGAAGACGGTAGCACGCATGCACTCTCTCTCTCTCTCTCTCTCTCTCTCTCTCTCTCTCTCTCTCTCTCTCTCTCTCTCTCTCTCCCCACTTCCGTCTTTCCCTGAACGCAACGCACCCTCATTTTGGCTGCACCGGACCGGAAAGATAGCTTGTATACATTCGTTATCAGGATGCTTAGTGTTAGAGCTCTCTCTCTCTCTCCCTGACACATTTCTGTCTTCCCAAACATAATGCACATTCGTTTTGGTTGCACCAGACATGACAGTTTGTATACATTTCTTATCAGGCTGTGTTGCCTCCACCCCCCCACCCCCCCCCAATGATCGCAAGCGCCCAATGCCAAACGGCCAAAACAGGGCACGAAAGGGATAATCTGGAGAATGCCCCCATAAGTTGAGATATATGCCAAAATGCCCCTGTAAGATGTGAGTAGAGCGGAATGCCCCTCTGACAAAAAGAATATTGTGTGAAATACCCCTGGTGTCAGTTGGACCCCCATCTTTACAATATACCCCTACCAGATATCATCCAACTTTGCAAAATGCCCCAGTACTTGCCAACTCTTCCGAGGCGCAATTGCAATTTGCAAAAGGCCAAGGCTGAATCAGGGAGGACGAGATTGCAATTTTGCAAACCTGCCTGACAGGGGCATAACACAGATGTCACAACGATCTCGGTTCAAAAGGGCATTTTCATCTTTACCCACATTTTTCAGGGGCATTTTGGCATATATCTCAACTTATGCGGGTACCTTGCAAAAAAAAAAAAAAAAAAAAACCTCNNNCGAGGGTCCATGATGGCCACCGTAGATTACGAGGGTCCATGATGGCCACCGTAGATTACGAGGGTCCATGATGGCCACCGTAGATTACGAGGGTCTATGGCCGGAAACGAAGGATCTGAGCAAGTGGGACCAGTGGGACCTTGGTCCCCAGGGTCTGCTTGTGGCAGTTCGGTGTGCTGGCGTTGTGGGCTTGACACGTAATGGGTTGATGAGGCATTCTGTTATAATATAATGAAGTACAACCTAAATGGCTGTTATTTCTCGAAAAAAAAAATAAAAATAAAAAATGGCTGTTACTGATGGGGGGGCGGGACAAAGGATAGGAGGGTAGTCATGAGGGTGTTTTTGTTGTTGTCAACATGCTGCGTCCTCCCGCCGGGGAAGTTGCCATTGTAGGGGTTGTTTGTGGGGGGAGGGGGCGTGGTCATGCTGTGCGAGGATGGTTCACTATAGGAGTTGAGGAGGCGAAAACGGATGTGGAGGGTTGTCCGGAGAGTAGAATAGACGAGGGAAAAAGGGGAGGCGGAGATGGATATGGCTTTCTCCATCAACCGCAGGATGAAGGAGATTGGGTCGTTATCGCCTGTTGAGGGGGAGGAGGAAGCCAGATCCATCTCCTTCATCCTTTTTTATTTTTTATTTTTTTGCTTCTCTGTGAGCGTTCTGGTCGTCCGAACTGGTTGTGGGAGAGTTCTGGTCGTCCGAGCCGAGCTGGTCGTGTGACCACTCTGGTCGTATTGGAGGCAAACAATCGATGCTGGCAGCGTTCTCTCGCAACAATCGCGTTGAGTTTACTCATCCGCACCTCTCCACAAACACGTCCAGATTCGGGCGTTGAGGAAACTCAACACTGTTTGTGGGACCTGGGGCCAGGACGCGGTGGTCCTGAGCGAAACGAGGTGCCCACTGCCCTCTCCCCACAACAAAAGACACGCTCATCGGGACTGCATCTGGCCGAAAATGGCCTTCTATACATTCATGATGAGGGTGCGTTGAGTTCGGGGGAGAACAGCAAGACGGTCTGGTGGTGGTCAGAGTTTTCAGAGGGAAAGTCACTCGGCGCCACAAGTTCCACTGGCATCGTTGAGTTTCCTCAGAGCCTGAATCTGGACGTGGTTGTGGAGATGTGCAGAAATAGCACTGAGTTTCCTCAACCGCACATCTCCGCAAACACGTCCAGATTCAGGCGTTCAACGCTGCTAATGGGGACTTGGTACCCGGTCATCATCTACCTTACGGTAAGCGCGGGAGAGCCTGTTATTTGGTCATC